TTGAGCTGCAACGTCATCTCATTAAGCTGCAACGTCATCTCATTAAGCTGCAACGTCATCTCGTTGAGCTGCAACGTCATCTCATTAAGCTGCAACGTCATCTCGTTGAGCTGCAATGTCATCTCATTGAGCTGCAACGTCGTCTCATTAAGCTGCAGCGTCATCACGTTGTGCTGCAACGTCATCTCGCTGAGCTGCAACGTCATCTCGTTGTGCTGCAACGTCATCTCATTGAGCTGCATTGTCGTCTCATTAAGCTGCAGCGTCATCACGTTGTGCTGCAACGTCAACTCGTTGCGCGGCAGCGTCATCTCGTTGCGCAGCAACGTCATCATGTTGTTTTGCCGCTGCATGCAAAAATGGCGCCTTTTATATCAGTGAGTTATTTTAATGGAATGGCCGATGTCTGATATTGAACTTGAACGCTTATTTCGACCGACACCATGCTGATAATATCGTGCATCCCTACTGTATTCATCTTGATTCTAGCCAGCGTTTTAGAGTTGTGTTCTTAACTTTGTGGTAATTTTCACTTAAACATTTAGTAACTTCAAATTTAAAGAGACTCACGGAGGTCACATAAACTTTTCAGTTTTGTTGTTGCACAGGCCATTGTGTTGTGTTTTCGTCTCCACTTCACCAAGGACAACATCACCAACAACACAGCAGCTGCCACTGTCAGACAAGTTGTCACCGTTGTGTTTGAGAGGATGGTGGCAGAAGATGAGCGATTTAAAGGTTAGACTGCATAGTGATGTTTATAGTAAAGAAGTAGGTTAGACAAAGAAAACACAGACTTTATTAGAATATACTAAATTTAGACAGTTTATCTAAAGTTAAATTCTTAACAGGACGAAGTACAATTCTTGCTTTTAAAAATCCCAACATAATTTCTTGTTCTTTGCTGCTGTGTCTGTTCAACACAATTAATGCACATTGTGTTTGACCTCAAGGCATCATGGAGCAACCTCCTCCTGTCCAAGGAAACACCAACAGACGGTCTGTTAGTACTCTGAGACCCAGCGCCAAGGATGCATACATGCTGTTTCAGGTATATCCACCAGGTGTCAGTAATCCTCTATACAGCTACATCCCCTCTTTCATACTGGCTCACTTACATCTTTGCACTAAGATGCTTTTCCAAGATTTAAAGATAGAAGAAGGATTTCACTATTAGATTTTAAAGTTTTGAATGTTCAATGGTCCCTTGTCTTTAAGTCCCCATTTGTTGTCCACCAACAGAATTCTTTTGTGTGTGGATCTTTGTCCTCTCTGCAGAGCTCAGTCACTGCACTGTTTTTGCAACTGTTAAATACAGTACAGCACTTCTTTTGGCCTGAATGTTGTTGACCTTTGCAGGACTTGTGCCAGTTAGTGAATGCTGATGCCCCCTACTGGCTGGTGGGGATGACAGAGATGACTCGGACCTTTGGCCTGGAGCTGCTCGAGTCTGTTCTCAATGATTTCCCTGGTGTATTTCTGCAGGTACACACACTATTACATTGTTAGGATTAATGATAAGGATGTGTGTGTTACTATGTTTGTTCTGGTTCAATGTCTTCATATGTTTCTCACTCAGCACCAGGAGTTCAGCTTCTTGCTGAAAGAAAGAGTGTGCCCCCTCGTCATCAAGCTCTTCTCACCCAATATCAAGTTCCGCCAGGGCACCGGCAGTGCAGCTGCACCAGCACCTGTTGAGAAACCCTACTTTCCCATTTGCATGAGGTTACTGCGAGTGGTTTCAGTCCTCATCAAGCACTTCTACAGTTTATTGGTAACGTGGCAATCTCATCAAAACTGCTGCATGATCTATTAGTTATGTCTAATGAAGCTGATGCTCTTCATTTATATAGTCTGTTTAAATGTGTGTCTGTTTTGCACCAAGTGATTTTGGGGGTGAGTCAGTGTTTTGGCCATTTTTACAAGTGTGCAAACTGGACATGGTGGTTGTCAGCAACTGGTGTACACTTTTCAAAAGTGAAAAAATATTGACCGTTTTTGAAGTTCCCTAAATGACCGACATGTTGCTATATTCCTGCTCAGTAAATATTAGTCTAAAATGGTTTCACAGACCAGATGGTCCTCTAACGTAGGGGTGTCCAATACGTTGATAACGATCTACGGGTTGATTGCAAAGGTATTATGGGTATATCGCATGGCATTAAAAAAGCAGACATCAATCTGTCATCAATCCTCACTGTGCACATGTTCAACAAATACAACACACCTCATCTTAGAATATCTTTACTTGGCACATATGTGTTCCAGAATTGCGCCGCTCATGGTGGCTGCATGTTGGAGTAACTGTTACTTTCATTCTGGGATATTGCTTTTGAAAATTGTATTTAGTCTTTTTCTGGGTATAAATGGCTTCTTTTTTCTTTTTTTTTGGATGAGTGCTTCTTCTGGTATTGGATGCTGTGCAGCTCGAAGGATTTTTACTGAAACCTTTTTACTTTTGTACATTTGTTACAAGTGTAACCATGACAACCAGGTGGTTTTTACAACTGGGAGTAGCTGATTAACATCTCAAAGCTCAAATATTACCTCAAATACAGCCCCAAATCCCAAATGAGTTGTAAAGGAGGTGCCATGGATGCATCTCCGTCTACCTGGCAGGGGTGCTTGAGTGGCTGACTGCTGAGATCCTGGAGCTGGCAGGAAATGTGGCTCATCACAACAAGAACACCAGGATCATCCCGACACCTGCAGCTGGCTGTCTGCAATGATTAGGGGCTCAACAAGCTGCTGAGAGGAGTGGCCATCACTCAGGGAGGAGTTCTGCCCAACATTCAGGTGGTCCTGCTGCCCAGGAGGACCGAGAGGTTCGCTGTGTCCGGATGGACGGATTGGCATCTGCAGCCAGATTCTTCAGATTCACTGTGGGCCAGCCATACTGCTGCAGGAGATCCTTCCAGCCCACAGCAATCAGCATCTATAACAACTCTTAAATGAAACCAGGATGATGAATTACGTTTAATTTCCCTTTGGAATTAACAAAAGTATTTTGAATTGAATTGAATTGAATATGACAGTTTAGGTCAAAATTGAATTCAGTTCAATTCAAAAATACTATTAATCCCAAAGAGAAATTATTTTGTTGTTGTAACTCGTTATCCTCATTTCATTAAGAGATGTTATAGATGCTGATGGCTGCAGGCAGGAAGAATCTCTTGTAAAGGTCCATCCCACAGTGGATCCTAAGAAACTGGCTGCAGATGCCGTCCACCCAGATTCGGCTGGCCTCTCAGTTCCTCCGGGCTGTAGGACCGCCAGAATGCTGGGTAGAACTCCTCCCAGAGCGATAACCACTCCTCCCAGCAGTCTGCCAAGCTCCTTGTCGCTGCAGACAGCCAACTGTACGTGCCGAGGGACGATCCTGTCCTTCCGCTGTCATGAGCCGTGTTTCCTGCTAGTTCCAGGATCTCAGTGGTCAGGGACTCGAGCACAGCCGGCAGGTAGATGAGAATGCATTCACAGAACATCCTTTTCAACTCATTAGAGATTTGGGGCTGTAGTTTAGATATTATTTAGAGGACCCTCATCAGTATGCATACCGTGAGAACCGATCAACAGAGGATGCCATCTCCTCTGTGGTCCACACTGCTCTCAACCACCTGGAGCAGAAAAACTCTTACGTCCGTATGCTCTTTTTGGACTTCACATCCGCCTTCAACACCATGATCCCCCAAACCCTGATGGACAAACTATCCACACTAGGACTAAGCCTCTCCATTTGCACCTGGGTACTAGACTTCTTAACAAACAGACCACAGTTAGTGAGGATCCACAACTTCTCCTCCTCCACCATAACACTCAGCACTGGCTCTCCTCAGGGATGTGTGTTGAGCCCCCTCCTGTTTACTCTGCTCACGTATGATTGTGCAGCTACCCATCCAGGCTGTCACATTGTAAAGTTTGCAGATGATACAGCGGTGGTGGGATGCATCACAAACAATGATGAGTCCAGCTACAGGCAAGAGGTGGAACACCTGGAGAGCTGGTGCAAAGAGAATAACCTTCACATCAATGTGAAGAAGACAAAGGAGATGATTGTGGACTTCAGAAGGAACAAAAACATCTACACCCCCCTGAACATAAGAGGATCTGCGGTGGAAGTGGTCTCCAGCTACAAGTACTTGGGTGTACACATGAATGACAACCTCAGCTGGAGCAACAACACCACAAGCCTGATCAAGAAAGTTCATCAGAGACTCTACTTCCTCAGACGGCTGAGGCGAGCTGGTCTGGGAAGCTCAGTCCTCACCTCCTTCTACAGGTGTGCAGTGGAGAGCATCCTGTGCTCGAGCATCAATGT